CTCTAAGACACTTGCTTCCGCATGATAAAAATATAAAGAAAAGATTCATTTATGAACTTAAATTTGTGTCAGAAGGAATGTCTGAAATGGAATCAAGCATCCGTCAACGAAAGATGTAAATTTCTTTTAATCTATTCGATGTGTGGAAAAAATTCATAGCTTTGCTGACGATAGCGTTATTTGAACCTGTCAGCATTGGGGTTTGTCTGTTACATTCAACGCTACGAAAAAAGTATAAGTCATTAAAAATCACTGAACGCAAGAATCAATCTGCTTGAGACGAGGATTTAAATTGTATTTCACCTCCTGCTAATTTCGATTAATTTTTTTGTTGTCAGCTGTTTCAAATATTAGACGAAGTATTTTGTAAAATTTTTACTGCAATCTGTGTCTCTTGTTATACATTTAGTAGTGTCTACTCATCTTTATTTTTACTGTTTACTGTGAATTAACTTTTTTAATCATCACTGAGATATATGTAGAATGAGTTTGTTTAATTTTTTCATGATATTCTTACTTTCAAAAAGATATCAAATAACACCAAAAATGTTTTTTCAAAACAAAACGGTTACGCCAAGTATTAAAAGTGTAGCTATTTCATAAAAAATAAATCCTTGCTAAAAAAATACCAAATAAAAATATTAAATCAAATCCAATAAATTAGCCAAGCAAAAATCCTGTGGTCCTACACTTGGTATTTTTTTAGCAAGGATTTATTTTTTATGAAATGGCTACACTTTTAATACTTGGCGTAACCGTTTTGTTTTGAAAAAACATTTTTGGTGTTATTTGATATCTTTTTGAAAGTAAGAATATCATGAAAAAATTAAACAAACTCATTCTACATATATTTCAGTGATGATTAAAAAAGTTAATTCACAGTAAACAGTAAAAATAAAGATGAGTAGACACTACTAAATGTATAACAAGAGACACAGATTGCGGTAAAAATTTTACAAAATACTTCGTCTAATATTTGAAACAGCTGACAACAAAAAAATTAATCGAAATTAGCAGGAGGTGAAATACAATTTAAATCCTCGTCTCAAGCAGATATTTAATATTATAAGACCTTAGTAATCATAATAATATTATATATAATATGATAAACTAGTTGCAAAAACTAGAAACAACCAGTTGGAAATAAAATTATTTGATGATGCGTCAGAAACGTTTTCGGAAATATTTATCTTAAATTTAATAATGAA